TGCATATTAGGCGACACCCCCCTAATGTAGCCAATCCTCCAAGAGCTTACAGTAGCCTCTGCAAGAAGAGCTCTGTAAGCTCTTGGAGGATTGGCTACATTAGGGGGGGTGTCGCCTAATATGCAAAGGAGCTCCTGCTACAAAAAGAACCCTCACCCCTCATGTAGCCAATCCTCCAAGAGCTTACAGTGGCCCCTGTAAGAAGAGCTCTGTAAGCTCTTGGAGGATTGGCTACATTAGGGTGTGTGTCGCCTAATATGCAAAGGAGCTCCTGCTACAAAAAGAACCCTGGGCAACACACCCCTCATGTAGCCAATCCTCCAAGAGCTTAGAGTAGCCCCTGCAAGAAGAGCTCTGTAAGCTCTTGGAGGATTGGCTACATTAAGGGGTGTGTTGCCTAATATGCAAAGGAGCTCCTGCTACAAAAAGAGCCCTGGGCGACACACCCCTCATGTAACCAATCCGCCAAGAGTTTACAGTAGCTCCTGTAAGAACTCTGTAAGCTCTTGGAGGATTGGCTACATTAGGGGTGTGTGGCCTAATATGCAAAGGAGTCCCTGCTACAAAAAGAGCCCTGGTCGGCTTAATGGTTAATCCGCCCCTGACGGACAGACACTGATGGACCAGTGGCCTGGCTCAGTAGAAGTCAGTTCCCTCTGTGCAAGGTGTTCACTATGGCGGCGTCTGCTCGTGTGCCCTATTTGGGCTCTCATTGTCTCCCTGTGTCATCCTTTCTCCCCAGGCAACTTTGTAAAGAGTTCACGGATCTCCTGGCCCAGGACAGGACACCCATCGGGAACAGCCGGCCCAGCCCCATCTTGGAACCCGGGATCCAGAGCTGCTTGACTCACTTCAGCCTCATCACCCACGGCTTTGGGTCGCCGGCCATCTGCGCCGCCCTGACCGCGCTCCAGAACTACCTGACGGAGGCGCTCAAAGGCATGGACAAGATGTTCTTGAACAACAGCTCCGCCAACAGGCACACTTCTGGGGAAGGACCAGGTAGTAAAACTGGAGAGAAGGAAGAGAAGCACAGAAAATGAAAATGTAAAAAAAAAAAAAGATAAAAAGGAAGCTAATGAAATTAGGGAAGACAAATGAAAGGAGAAGCAGAGAGGAAGAGAGAGAGATTCTTTGAACGGGAACTTTTTAATTTTAGCTTTAAAACAAAACAAAACAAAAACATTTGGATCGGGCTTTGGAAGAAGGACGCTAGCTAGGTCAGACCCACAGAGAATTTGTGTTGTTGTGGTTTTTTGTTTTGTTTTTTTAAAAAGAAGGACCTAAGTCAGAGGTGCACAATGGCGCGGGAATGGCTTTTACGAAGGAACTTTTGAACACAACCTCCAGGAGTTTCCGCTTCTGTCTCCCACAATCTTTTTTTTTTTTAATTGGGGGGTGGAGGGGTGGAGGGGGGGAAACAAAAACCGATCGTCTTCATCATCATAGGTGAAAGCAATCAATAACTTATTGAAAGTTTCATTTTGGGGCTCATGTCGATGCATAGTCCGCTCGTGTGTTAACCATTCTTTGAAAATAAGTGTCTCTTTTGTCTATAGTCGGGAAAGGAATGACCTTCGAAGGGGGTGGAATTGTTTTATACTGGATGGTCCAAAGCAAGCTTTCCTGATTTTGATTCAGATTCCCTTCCTTTTGAACTGTTGGCAGAACTCTTAGGGCCAAATCCCACCCAGCCTTTAAGTTCCTTAGGAACAGGAAAACCCAAACTGACTCTCAAGATCTGTCTGGACTGGTAGCCACTAGGGAGAAAGTCAAGCCACTGTAGGAACAGGTTCAGGTGAGCAGTGAACAAGTGAAAAACTCTGTTTATGTGGAAGCGTGTTTCAGATCGCAGGAGCGCACGAGGCCGTTCCCAAGTGCCCCTTGACAATACAGAGGAGCCTTTCTATAATTCTCCACGTTCTTTAGATGTTGAGCACATTTGAACCTTAACTCTTGAAGCTCCAATGGCTTTTTAAATTGGCTGTAGAGGCGGACGGGGTTTGTCGATAACGTCCAGTTGAGCATGACTTAGAATCGGCCTTGAACGTCCAGGACAGCGCCTTTCTTCCCATGGGGGAATCCCTGCTTAAAATGTCATGCAGCTATGCAAAAGTTGTGAGCGAACAGGACTAAGGGGAGCCCGATTCTTCCACTTGTGGACTGATCTTTCAAAAAACAAACAAACACACAACCCAAATGACATGCATTTGGCATTCGGATGTAACTTTTCCCCAGTGTAATGCTTCCCCAGTTTGGTGTAGTGGTTAGGGGCACGGACTGTAATCTGGGAGAACCAAGTTTGATTCCCCACTCCTCCACGTGCAGCTGCTGGTGTGACCTTGGGTCAGTCACAAGTTGTCTCAGAGCTGTTCTCTCAGAAGCAGTCCTTGAAAGAGCTCTCTCAGCCCCACCTACCTCACAGGGTGTCTGTTGTGGGGAGGGGAAGGGAAAGGAGATTGTAAGCCGCTCTGAGACTCCTTCAGGTAGTGAAGGATGGGGTATAAATCCAATCTCCTGCTCCTCCTCTTCTTCTAGGAGGAGGAGGAGGAGGAGGAGGAAGATAGCGGAGAACCCCCACATCCATCCCTGTGTTTGAAATCAGGAGGACTTCATTCGCGGGGAGGGCGGGGTAAAAATGCAAATAAATAAATAAATAACCCAGTTGGCTCAGGTCAAATGTTACAAGATTCCTGGTGCATAACCCGAGCTTCCTCATCTGCAAGAGTGTTCTTTGCCTTGCAATGAAGACACCTCTTCGGAATGCACCTGGAATAATGCTCAAATAGGTTTTTCATTGAAGTGAATAGGAAGTCCATTTGTATAAAAGCTCCATACATGCCCTGGAGTGCATATGAAACTCTTAGTCTTAGGGGTTCAATGCGCTTAGGTGCCAGTCTGCTAACTCGACAGGGATTCCCTCAGTTCCCTTAACACCAGTCTCTCAGAGCTCGTCCGCACACCCCTAATTCTTTTCTTTTTCTAGAAGAGTGTTAGTGATAGGAATGTCTTGATGCGTATGTGATTTCCTTCTCAGGACTCTGTACCCTTTTTTTTTATTTCCTTCTGTCTCCCAAAGCTTTGCCCGCATGGCTCATGAGCTTCTTCAAAGATGACTAGAACTCCCTACACATTTCATCAGGTACAGAGATGAAAATCCACAATCCTGACTCCTTTTCTTTTATTATTATTATTATTCAAATCAAAGCCAGCGGTGTTTTTGTTTTTCTCGGAATTCTGCCAGCGTACTTCTTTAAAGAAGCTCAAAGGGGATAGATTAAAGGAAGCACAGGTAACGGGGTAGGGCGGCGTGACAGGGAGAAGCCAGATGCTTTGGGGGCTCATGCGGAATGATCTTGCTAGCGCTGTACCCGCCAAGGTCCCTGCTGCATAGACTGCCCGGTGCCACTGGGGTCCCTCTAAGCTGTGGACTCTTGTGAGCAAAAATTCTACTTTGTGAGCTACTACCATTAAAGCTGTGAGTGAGCCATTTGGCTGCTGCTTCAATTAGTGTGCTCTGGAGCCATCTTTCCTGAGCTAAGACAAAAAGGTGTGAGCCGGAGGCTAAAAAACTGTGAGCTGGCTCACACTGACTCGGCTTAGAGGGAACACTGGAAAGGACTGTAGGCAGCTGTGAGTGTGGGCAGCGGGAGGGCAGGGGAAGGGAGAGACACACAGGCAGGTGGACAGGCGTGCAGGTGGGTGGGCAGGAAGGAGGGCTTGAATGGCTGGTTGTGGGCAATACTCCCTCTAAGCTGTGGATTCTCATGAGCAATGATTCTACTTTGTGAGCTTACTGGCATTAAAGTTGTGAGTGAGCGATTTGGCTCCTGCATCAATTAGTTTGCTCTGGAGCCCTCCTCCCTGAGCAAAGCCTCCAGCTCACACATTTTCATCTCCACTCGGGAAGGAGGGGCTCCAGAGCAAACTGATTTATGCAGCAGCCAAATGGCTCCCTCACCACTTTCATGCCAGCAGCTGACATAAGCAGACGTTTTGCTCACAAGACTCCACCGCTTAGAGGGCGCATTGGTGCTCTCCTAGCAAGGAGTTCCGTTTCCTCCAGGCGATTAAATGACTTTTCCGATCCTTGACTTAGACTACAAACAGCAAAAGGTGGGAGGGGGAATCAGCCAACCCCAGCGGTCCCTCACAGGCATGCAGTGTGTTACAGGCCCTCTTTATGAATCAGGTTGTCCGTGTCTCATCTCCTCATCCAGCAAGGCTAGTTAAACCCTGCTTAAGTGCCAGAAAATGAACCCGACCCTGCATGCTAACGGCTTGGGGAGATTTTGTGACTCGACTGTGGCTATAGTGTTTTCATGCTTTTTTTTTTTTTTTTTAAGAAAATGATTTCCCTTTTGTCGCAACCAGTGTTCCCTCTAAGCTGAGTCAGTGTGAGCCAGCTCACAGTTTTTTAGCCTCCGGCGCACACATTTCTGTCTTAACTCAGGAAGGAGGGCTCCAGAGCAAACTCCTTGATGCAGCAGCCAAATCGCTCGCTCACAACTTTAATGCCAGTAGCTCACAAAGTAGGATTCTTGCTCACAGCTTAGAGGGAACATTGGTCGCAACAGCTTCTGTCTATGCTCTCTATGAATAATTTTGGCCCAACGTAGGATTCCGAAAGACAGTAGGCTCAGGACGTCTCCGAGATCCTTCTGAGTGTATTACGTGGTTTTCACACTCGATTGATTTTTTTGGTGGGATTTCGTTCCACGTCATGGTGCTTTACGATAGCCGTGGCTCCCAGTTGTCTGGCTAAAGGTCCATCTGTTTCAAGTTACAGAAATTATTGTTGTTTTTTTATATAAAAAAGCGAGTTATGCAGTGTTGCCAACCTCCAGATGGTGGCTGGAGACCTCCCGCTATCACAACTGATCTCCAGGTGACAGAGATCGCTTCACCTGGATAAAATGGCCTCTTTGGAAGTTGGACTCTATGGCCTGATACTCCAGTGAAGCCCCTCCCCTCCCCAAATCCTGCACTTCTCAGGCTCCACCCCCCAAATATCGAGGTATTTCCCAACTGGGAGCTGACAACTCTAGAATTAGGTCCTTTTAAAAAAAAAAAGAAGAAGAAGAAGCTTTCAATAAACAGTCCCTTTATATGCTACATACTGGGCGTACCTACAGCCTATGTTGTCATGGTTAAACCCTTTCTACACATCTGATAAGGTGTGTTCCCCCTTGGCATGTGCATATATGCACATATACGTATACATGTTCTGTACCTGCCTTTCCCCACTGCATGCAGGTGTGATGGAATAACGCGTGCAGGCGCTTCAGCAATATGGGTGAACACTCTTTACAGGTGGCGGAATCACCGAGCAGTTTTTCATGCATTACACTTCAAAGCCGGTCCTAACGATGTCAGCTGATTTGTCCCCCCAACCGACGAGCCATGAGATGCGCTTGAAATTCAGCTGACGCTTCCGCATTTCACCTTTCTGCCTGTCTGGGGGACTGAGAGGTGATTCGTTCACAAGAGGAAGGAGAGGCCTGTTTGCACCACCTGGTTCACCTGGAGAACATTGTGTGGCCACATTCCTGAGCACCTATTAAGTGGAAGTAAATGTCATAGGAATCCCAGTTGTGTTGGTTTTTTAGCTGCCTAAGTAGCGCGGCTGAGCCCAGGCTTGCCCAGCAGAGTTGGCCATGATCCGTACTTGCATGGGAGACCAACAAGGACATCTAGGCTCGCTACATAGGGCTACCCATCTGCTCCTCTTGTGGCTGGAACATCCCCTAGATTGCCATGAGTCAGTTGTGACTCAGTGGTTCCTTCTCCTTCTCCTTCTCCTCCTCCTCCTCCAATCCAAGTATTCAGCTCTGATTAGTCCTTAAGCTCCACTTCAAAACCTACACATGTATGTGTATAGGAAGTTTTTTCACTTAGCAAGGTCCAAATATAGTTTCCTTTGGCCTGGTACAATCATGAGACAGATCCCACCCATTCCCTGATTCCAAAACAGACATACGATCTCATACAAAGAAATATATATATATATGCATTTCCGAAAAGTCGTAAGCTGACCATATCTTGATGACAGACTTGCAGAGTGGACCCGGTGAAAGGCACCATTCTGCTTCCCTTTGCTTTGCCCCTCCTGCCCAGCAACAGAAAAGGGTAAAGGTAAAGGTTTCCCTTGCTCGAAAGGCAGTCGAATCTGACTCTAGGGGGCGGTGCTCATCTCCATTTCCAAACCGAAGAGCCAGTGCTGTCTGAAGACTTCTCCGTGGTCATGTGGCCAGCCAAGGCGCACGGAACGCTGTCACCTTCCCACTGAAGTGGTACCTATTGATCTACTTGCCATTTCTTGCTTTCGAACTGCTAGGTTGGCAGGAGTTGAGGCCAGAGACAGGAACTCTCTCCGTCATACGGCACTCGGGTCTTGACCTGCTGAGCTGCAGACCTTCCGGTCCACAGCTTCAGCGTCTTAACCTCTGAGCCTCTGAGCTCAGTCTATAAACCACTAAGAACCTAAGAACATAAGAACATAAGAGATGCCAATGTTGGATCAGGCCAAAGGCCCATCTAGTCCAACACTCTGTATCACACAGTGGCCAGAAATACCAGGTGCCATCAGGAGGTCCACCAGTGGGGCCAGAACATTAGAAGCCCTCCCACTGTTGACCCCCCCCCAAGCACCAAGATGACAGAGCATCACTTGCCCCAGAGTCCCTATCTATACCTTGTGGCTAATAGCCACTGATGGACCTCTGCTCCATATGCTTATCTAATTCCCTTTTGAAGCCATCCAAGCTTGTAGCCACCACCACTTCCTGTGGCAGTGAATTCCACTGATTCCAATTGGGTAGATTTATTAGTCTGTTGCAGCAAAACTAAATGGGGCTCTACCAGAATCATAATGTCTATCAAGATGCCTTAAGCTTTCGTGGGCCAAGGCCGCCTTCTTCTGATGTATCATGTCGAAGGGACTCCTCACTTGTCAGATATTTATGTATGAAGCTGGTGATGGAGGAACTAATAGGGGCCATACAATGCAGGGAGTACAAGGTGAGACATGTAAAATCCAAAGGTCATCCATGGAAGTCCAGGCACCAATCACAGGAGCTGTCCACCTAAGTTAATGGAAATGTCTTATTGGAGTACACGGTTTTTATGATGTCACTGAAGCACTTTGATTCAGGAGGGACTCTGGCAGAATTCCCTGACAAAAACTGTGCCTAAGACAGCCCACACTTACCGGTGAGGTGACCTCAAGCCCAGTTGAAGCATTTGTAAATCTCACTGGTTTTTCCTGATAATTAAGTGCACACTGAACTCCTATTGATATAGATGGGATTTTCATGTGACCATAAGGACATCAGAGAAGCCAATGTTGGATCAGGTCACTGAAGCACTTTGATTCAGGAGGGACTCTGGCAGAATTCCCCGGCAAAAACTCTACCTAAGACAGCTGGTGAGGTGACCTCAACCCCAGTTGAAGCATTTGTAAATCTCACTGGTTTTTCCTGATTATTAAGTGCACACTGAACTCCTATTGATAAGCCATGTTGGATCAGGCCAGTGGCCCATCCAGTCCAACGCTCTGTGTCGCACAGTGGCTGAAACCCAGGGGCCATCAGGAGGTCCACCAGTGGGGCCAGAACTCCAGAAGCCCTCCCAGTGTTGCCCCCCCCCAACCACCAAGAATACAGAGCATCACTGCCCCAGACATAAGAACATGAGAGAAGACATGTTGGATCAGGCCAGTGGCCCATCCAGTCCAACACTCTGGCCAAAACCCAGGTGCCCTCAGGAGGTCCACCAGCACATCTTAGGGTTTCCTTTCTGCTTAGGTTTATGGGTTTCCTTTCCTCGATTTCCAGCATTTTTTAAAAAATGTATCTTATGTCATCCAACAATTGGAAAAGGAGGCAAAAAGAGGAAATATGCCTTTATGTTTCACATCACCAAAGAGTCACTGACTGCTCACTTCCTCAGATACAGCTAGAACGTGAGTCCGTCTGTCCCAAAGAATGTGTTTCCCCTGGGAGATGCTTACCAAGTTTGCTTTCAAAGTAAGCTGGCGTGTGAGCTTTTCCACAACTTGGCTTCTGGGTTGCTGGTCACCCTTCTTCCAGCTTAACCACAGACTCTTACACGAATGTTTAAAGTGCCGTTAAGTTGCTGCCAGCTCATGGCAAAGCCCTGTAGGGCTTTCAAGGCAAGAGATGTAGTTGGCCATTGCCTGCCCCTGCGTAGCAACCCCGGACTTCCTTGGTGGTCTCCCATCCAAGTACTAACCAGGGCCCACCCTGCTTAGCTTCCCAGAACTGATGAGAATTCTAACTAAGAAGATCCCTCCGCAGATTATCCAAGGCCACTGCTGTCCACCTTCCGTCATCCAAAGTCATGCCAATG